TACACAGTGCTTACAACTGTCTCTGGAAGTGAAAGCACCAGAAAATAAATTAAGTCATACGCAGCGGTCATCCGTACGCAAGGAAGTAAGCACGAGATACCGAAAACCCTAAGCAGGATGCAGCGCACCCTTCATGCGACTCGCCGAATATCTCACGGCGCTTCGCGCTTGGTGATGTGAGAGCCTGGTCCGGTGAGAACCCGGCGTGCTCCGTCCCGGCTTTGTAGGGATGCGAGGTCAATGGTCTAACGACTACGGCATGCACGACTATGAGTACACCCCCCCCCATCTACGATGATTTACCAATCACGATCCTGGCAATAAATCGCTTGGTTGGCCCTCCAAAATAGGTCCGGTTCAAGGACCGCATCACTATCCTGCGGGGCAACCACGAGTCCCGCCAGATCACGCAGGTCTACGGGTTCTACGACGAATGCCTCCGCAAGTACGGCAACGCCTCGGTGTGGAATTGCTTCACCGAGCTCTTCGACTACTTGCCCATGACAGCCCTGGTCGAAGACAAGGTGAGGTCTCCCCTGGCCGGTAGCGGGCCACGGATGAGAATGGTAGGGGGTAATCAGCCCCCATTAGGGTGCATACCGTATACAGTACGACACAAGATTACGCAAACCCTGGACCGGTTTTCAAAGGTCGATTACGCCTCGAGCAAGAGGTTGGATAAAAGAATCGATACAGTTTCGGAAGTCTCTTGACGGGACGGGTTGGACGCCACCGCTCTCGGCGCTGTGACTCTTTCTGCTGTTGAGAAGTCGAGCTTCGAAGATGGGTCCGGGGTGTGTGTTGTGTCGTATCTCAGTTTTTTGGGGGTGGTCCAGAAAGGTCTGCGGTTCTGATGTGTTGTTGCTTGTAGGCCTCCTTGTTTCTGTCGTTCCATGATATTTTTGCATGTCCTTGTCTACCCGCCATTTTCTCAGCTTGCAGCTTACGTTTCGTAGGCAGGTGAGGTAAGACCGGTCTCCCCACGCACCCCTACTTATGCCTGATACCAACGTCGGAGCCCTTGATTTTTGTTGGTTCTGTTGATTGTGGTCCTGGAGTACTAGTTGTTGTATACGGCCGGTAAAATGGCATGATTCAGGTGGAATGTTGAAGTTGTTGTCGCTGGGTGCCCGATTTATCATGGCCGGCCAAATCCCTGTGTCACTATGCGGCCTTGTACTGGGTGCAGGCACCATTTGCCATGTATGTCCTTGGTAGGTGACGGTGTTGTTTTCATGGCTGTTGTTGATGTTTTCGCAGATCTTCTGTCTCCATGGAGGCCTTTCGCCGTCCATTGACACGCTGGACCACGCCCGGGCCTTGGACAGGATACAGGAGGTGCGTTGCGGGTGTGATGGTGGATGCTCCACAGCGGTATCGATACGCAATCCAAGTGTGCAAGGGTGTACAACTCCTTGATTGCTGTAGCGATAGCAGGCGATGGCGGTTAGCATGGAGGGTAATGCTGCCATCGCATGATTTGACGTAACCCCCGAACCAACCAACCACCCATGACTTGCTGCTTGTAGTTACCTGGTTAACCCCCCCCCCCTCCCACCCCCCAGTGTTTGCCATCGGGGTTGGGTTTTCGTCGCTTGGCAACGACGTTGTAAAACAAGCCGCCGCCCCCGGTGTTTGCCATCGGGATTGGATTTGCGTCGCTTGGCAACGACGTTGTAAAACAAGCCAATTCACCTCGTGAACTCGGCAACCAGGTTACCGTTTTTTTTTTACCTCCGTTTTTTTTATGGCAGTAACCATAATGGTGGTCGAGTAGATCATGTTGTGCGGGGTCGAGAACCCTCACTCCGCGCAAGGGGGATGATCGCACCACGTTGTGTTAAAATGGTCAAGCACCCTCGAGGCAGTTACACAGTGCTTACAACTGTCTCTGGAAGTGAAAGCACCAGAAAATAAATTAAGTCATACGCAGCTGTCATCCGTACGCAAGGAAG